CACGTGGCACGTGGCACGTGGCTGTTGCCGGTCTGAGCAGTGCAGCTCACGGAAGTCTCTGAATGTTAAATGCCTTCCCCGAGACTGCTTTGTAAAAACTAGGTTTTTAAGTTTTAGAAAGTGATACACACATTGGTAAAAAAGAGAAAACCAAACGGGGCTGGTGCGGTGGCACAGTGGGTAAAGCCACCGCCAGCAATGCTGGCATCCCATGTGGGTGCCAGCTGCCAGGCTTCTGATCCAGCTCCCTGCTGATGGCCTGGGAAAAGCATTGGAGGATGGCCCAAGTGTCTGGGCCCCTGCACCCACGTGGGAGATCTGGGTGAAGCTCCTGGCTCCTGGCTCTAGCCTGGCCCAGCCCTGGCCGTGTGGCCGTCTGGAGAGTGAACCAGCGGATGGAAGACCTCTCTGTCCCTCTGTCTCTCCAACTCTTTCAAATGGATAAATAAACCTTAAAAAAAAAAAGAAAGAAAATCAAGCTCTCTGTGTGCCTGAGGTGGACGTGGAGCCCCCCGCCCCCGAAGGCTGCGGCCCAAGGGCGTGGGTGAGGCCTAAAGGACTTTCCCCATGGCTCTGCTCTCTGCTGAGCACTTTTTAAACAATGCAGGTTCTATGTGTGGGCACCTGCAGAGTGGCCCCTCTCTTCCACAGCTGCCCCATGCCCACTGCTCAGATGGCCTAGGGTGTGGCTGTCGGGCACTTGTGTGAGAGGATCCCTGGGGTGTGAGAGGATCCCTGGGGTGTGGAGTGGATCCCTGGGGTGTGGAGTTGATCACTGGAGTGTAGAGTAGATCCCTGGGGTGATCCCTGGGGTGTGGAGTGGATCCCTGGGGGTGTGAGAGGATCCCTGGGGTGTGGAGTGGATTTCTTTTGTGTGGGGTAGATCCCTGGGGTGATCCCTGGGTGTGGAGTGGATCCCTGGGGGTGTACAGTGGATTCCTAGGGTGTGGAGTGTATTCCCGAAGCATGAGTGGATCCATGGAGTGTGAGTAGATCCTGGCATGTGGAATAGATCCCTGGGAGTGATCCCTGGGCATGGAGTGGATTTCTGGGGTATGGAGTGGATTCCCAGGGTGTGTGGAATGGATTCTTAGAGTGTGAGTGGATCCCTAGGGATATGGAGTTGATCACTGGAATGCAGAGTAGATCCCTGGAGTATGGAGTAGATTTCTGGGGTGTGAGTGGATCCTGGTGTGTGGAGTAGATCCCTGGGAGTGATCCCTGGGGTGTGAGTGGATCCTGGCATGTGGATTAGATCCCTGGGGTGTGAGAGGATCCCTGGGGTGTGGAGTGGATCCCTAGGGGTGTGGAGTTGATCACTGGAGTGTAGAGTAGATTCCTGGGGTGATACCTGGGGTGTGGAGTGGGTCCCTGGGGGGTGTACATTGGATTCCCAGGGTGTGGAGTATATTCCTGAAGCATGAGTGGATCCATGGAGTGTGTGAGTAGATCCCAGCATGTGGAGTAGATCCCTGGGAGTGATCCCTGGGCATGGAGTAGATTCCCAGGGTGTGTGGAATGGATTCTTAGAGTGTGAGTGGATCCCTAGGGATATGGATTTGATCACTGGAATGCAGAGTAGATCCCTGGAATGTGGAGTAGATTTCTGGGGTGTGAGTGGATCTTGGTGTGTGGAGTAGATCCCTGGGAGTGATCCCTGGGCATGGAATGGATTTCTGGGGTGTGGAGTGGATTCCTGGGGTGTGTGGAATGGATTCTTTGAGCGTGAGTGGATCCCTAGGGATATGAAGTTGATTGCTGGAATGCAGAGTAGATCCCTGGAGTGTGGAGTAGATTTCTGGGGTGTGAGTGGATCCTGGCATGTGGATTAGATCCCTGGGGTGTGAGTGGATCCCTGGAATGGGGCCACTGGACAGTCTGTGCTTTAAGTACATGATGGATCTCCGACAGTGGCTAATGAGAAGGTGGACACACGAGCAGCTGCCCCTCCCCCTACACTGGACATCACATGCGGCCTCCATGCTGCCCGAGGGGGACTGGCCAGGCCTCTTCTCGGGAAGGGAGGGTGGGTAGCAGAGGAACTGTGTGGTCACGGAGAGCGACCCAGCAAGCGCTGAGCCGGCCCTGTGTGAGAAGGGGGCCTAGGCGGCGTCCCGCCTCCGCCAAGTGCAGGAGCACGGCTGGCGGCCGTGGGCTGACCCTACCGTTCCCTTCCTGCTTTTCCACACCTGGATGGCTTTGCCCACTTTTTTCCCTACAGAGTGAGAATTTTGTAAAGAATTCAATGAAAACAGCTCAGATTTTTACACAATCAATCAAATCCGCCTACAGGGGGATTTTGCTGAGTTCGCTGCAGGGAAAGAGAAAAATTGTGTCTTCAGCCCAGATAAAATCAAACCAGAATCAAGTTGTGCACTACAGATAGTTCACTTCGCACGTTGAACGGGCCAGGGCGATTCTGTCACTAGAAATACAAGCGAGGGGCCGCGCTGTGGCGCAGCAGGTTTGGCGGCTGCTTCCGATGCTGGCATGCCATCGGGCGCCGGTCTGAGTGCCGGCTGCGCCGCTTCTGGCCCAGCTCCCTGCTGATGCACCTGGACAGCAGCGGAGGACGACCAAGAGCTGGGGCCCCTGGACCCACGTGGAGACCCAGATGCAGCTCCTGGCTCCTGGCTTCAGCCTGGCCCAGCCCCAGTCATTGTGGTCACTTGGGGAGTGAACCAGCGGACGGAAGAGTCCCTGAAACTGCCTTTCAAATAAATTAATTAATTAATTAATTTAAAAAAATAGAAATACACTCAGAGTCACAGGGAATTCTCCTGAAAATCATCTTCCATTTCTAATTATGCCTTTAAAAAGCTAAACAGTCTTTGTTGTTGCAAAGATTGAAAACGAGTCACTTGGGGCCAGCGCTGCGGCGTAGGCAGGTAAAGCTGCTGCCTGTAGTGCCAGCATCCCATATGGGTGCCGGTTCGAGTCCTGGCTGCTCCACTTCCTATCCGACTCTCTGCTGTGGCCTGGGAAAGCAGTGGAAGATGGCCCAAGTGCTTGGGCCCCTGCACCCACGTGGGAGACCCAGAGGAAGCTCCTGGTTTCGGATCAGCACAGCTCCGGCTGTGACCAAGCGGAGTGAACCAGCAGATGGAAGACCTCTCTCTCTCTCTCTCTGCTTCTCCTTCTTCCTGTGTAACTCCAACTTTCAAGTAAATAAATAAATCTTAAAAAAAAAAAAAAGAAAACAAGTCACTCATGCTTAGCTCTGCTTTGCGACTCTCAGACGGGACACTGGGCCTGTCACTGTTCTAGAATCCAGCCGAAGCCCCTTGGGAATGAGACCCAGGGACCCCACAGCACCTGCTCCTGCGCGGGGCTCTGCTCTAACCCCCCCCACCCCCGGGAAAATCACAGACGCAGACTCTGAGCCCAGCCAGCAAGGGCACTGGGAGTCCCGGGTCTTTTTTTTCTTTTTCTTTTTTTTTAAATGGGGGTCCCCAGTGGCTGGCAGGAAATTCTGAGCCTGCCCCTTGGGGTCCCAGAGCCCACCAGTTAGAACGGTGGCTCTCCTGATGTGGCGTGGCCAGAGGCTCCCGCGCACTGCTCTCTCCACACCCGGGCAGGATGTGAGCTCTGTGACCCTGACTGGCTGGGAGGGAGGAGCCGGGGTGATCCGCCAGTAGCTGGAGTCTCTGTGAATGACTCCACATCTTTACGCGTGCCAACAGTCACCTCCGAAAAACCTCCAGGTGCTTGAGAACAAGCGTCTCTCGCTGTGAAAATGCTGCTGGGCGCCGAAGGATCACAGCGGATCGTGAGCGTTTCTGAAGTCAGAGCTGACGGAAGCGGTTCAGCGGGGTCTGGCCACCCCAGGGTGGGCCAGGCAGAGGGGAGGTCGAATCCCCCAGCCCCAGGTGAGTGCTTCCTGCTTTCGTGTCTGCACTCCTTTAGGAGCTGTCTGTCTTCTGCCTTGAGGCTGGAGTTGAAGGACTCGCTCCCTGTATCGCCTGGACCACACTGCCCTGGGACCCCCATGCAGGTGCTGTAGCCGGACCCGTGACCCCCAAACCAAGCGCATGAACTTTCCGGCAACGTCCAAAGCTGGGGGCGGGGAGAATCGGCACTTAGTTAATGTCCAAGCACACGTGGATCCAGACAGATGCCGGCATCGCTTAATTTCAGAGGGACAGAAAGAAGCCGATTCTAAGTGGTTCCCCCTTGAATTGTAAAAGATGAGTCAGGAGAAAAACGTGCCACCGTTCTGCGCAAAGCCAGGGTCTTTCAGAACACAGCCTGTGGGGCGGCGCTGTGGCGCAGTGGGTGGGGCCGCAGAAGCAGCCGCCTGCAGCACCGCCATCCCCTACGGGCGCCGTTCGAGTCCGGCTGCTTCTCTTCCGATCCAGCTCTCTGCTACGGCCTGGGAAAGCAGTAGAAGATGGCCCAACGGCCAGCGCCGCGGCTCACAAGACTAATCCTCAGCCTGCGGTGCCGGCACCCCGGGTTCTAGTCCCGGTTGTGGCGCCGGTTCTGTCCCGGTTGCCCCTCTTCCAGGCTGCTGGAAGGCAGTGGAGGATGGCCCAGGTGCTTGGGCCCTGCACCCTCATGGGAGACCAGGAGGAAGCACCTGGCTCCTGGCTTCGGATCAGCACAGCTTTGGCCATTGCAGCCAACTAGGGAGTGAACCAGGGGATGGAAGACCTCTCTCTCTGTCTCTCTCTCTCTGCCTCTGCCTTTCAAATAAATAGATAAATCTCAAAAAAAGAAAGCAGCCTGCACTCCTTTGGCAGTGTGACTGTTTCAGAAACCATGAAGGAGCCTCGTGCCCTCCGACCACAGACAACACGTGACAGACCCCCCCCCCCCCCAGGGACCCTTGTGTTTCAGCGACCTGGGTCGCACAGGCAGCCCCTCCCGGCCCCTCCACACCCCGGCCCATGGGGGTTCTTACCCCCGCCCCCCACCAGGGACCCTTGTGTTTCAGCAACCTGGGTCGCACAGGCAGCCCCTCCCGGCCCCTCCACACCCCGGCCCCTGGGGGCTCTTACCCAGGCGGTTGCAGGGGTTCCGTTTGAAGAGGGCCCTCAGCAAGCCCTGGGCCTCCACGCTGAGGAACTGTGGCATGCCCAGCTTGGCCCTGGAGAGCAGACGGGGGCGGTGAGCAGGCGGCCGCGCAGGGGACGGTGAGCAGGCGGCCGCGCAGGGGGCGGCTCCTCGCTGGCCTGGGGCCTGCCCAGTGCGCACTAACAGACCCCAGCGTCACCCAGAGCAATGGTTTTGCCCTTTGGACCCCCGTGCACTTCCCAAGAGGTCCGAGTTGATGTGGTTCACAGCCAAGTTTACCGCACCAGAGACCACACTGGAGAACCCACGGCTGCTATCTGATCTAATAGCATTAAATAGACATCACAACCCAGCAACATACATAGCGGAGATCAACCACATTTTCCAAAACCTAAACCCAACCCTGTCATGTCCTGCTGGGAGGGGAGTGGGCTCTCACCAGGGCGCAGCCTACTGCAGTGCGAGGAAGAAAACCGGGCAAGGAGGCCCCGCAAGAGCCGGGGACGGCCTCCGTGTCCCTACGGCCACACTGAGAACCCCAGACACACAGCGGGCGCTGCCCACCTGTGACAGCAGGATGGGTGTATCCCAGCTTCAGAAAAAAAAAAAGATCTTGTTTTCCCTTGAGATGCAAACAACTAGGGGTAAGTAAGGCGGCGCTGTGCCGCAGCCTGGGACAGCGCCATCCCTCCGCGCGCTGGCTGGCGTCTTGGCTGCTCCTCTTCCAACCCAGCTCCCTACTAGTGCACCTGGGAGAGCAGTGGAGGATGGCCCAGTGCTGGGGCCCTGCAGCCAGCGAGACCCGGGAGAAGCTCCTGGCTGCTGGCTGGTCGTGACCACCCGGGGAGTGAACCACGGATGGAAGACCTCTGTCCGTCTGTCTGTCTGTCCCCTCGCCCTGCAACTCTGATTTTCACAGAAATAAATACATCTTAAAAACATTAAGTAGAGGAGAGGAATCACTACGCCCACAGCTTCGGGCTTGGTTGCCAGTCAGGTCACCCGAGAGAGGCCGAGCGGGCCACACTCAGAGTCGCAAGGGGGAGCCTGGGCCTCACTGTGAGGATGCAACTCCCAGCGTTTCGGGCGCCTCCACGGGCAGGCAGTTTGCGGGCGGTCAGCACGCCTGTGACCCTCCTCCGTTCCGCTCCGGGGTTAGCAGGGGGGCGCACTGGGGTTCCCTGCCGCCCCCCCTCTTGCCTCTCTCCACGGCCGCACTCAGTGGTGCCCGCTTGCTTGCGCTGAGTGCTATCCGTCAACCAGCCCTGGGTCAGACCCCCTGCCGTGGCTCTCAGAGCAAAAATCGCTCGCTAATCGACTCTTCACGAGCACTGGCGGGAAACCGGATTCAGCCACGAGGGACAGACCACGCGCGTTCCCGCCAGTGTCGGGCACGAGGCTTCCGGGGCCGCGGGAACCAGTGCCCGGGCAGCGGGAAGGCCCCGAGATGGCCAGGGAGCCCATCTGCACCCTGCCGGTGGCCGGTCTCGGCTTCTGCTGACAGAAACTTCACCACAGAACCAGAGCTCATCAGAGTCGCTCCGCGGGTTCACGGATCACGTCCCCTAACGGCTGCCGGCTCGCTCAGCCAACCGTGAAGAGAACACCGGAAGCGACCAGCACGCCGCTGTCCATTTCACACCTTACGACCACCGTCTCCCACTTCACGACCTCCTCCACGCTGTCCCCCCCACACCCCTCCACCTGCCTCATGACCCCCCAGTCACACCCCCACCCTCTCCAGCCACGCTGTCCCCCCACCCCTCCACCTGCCTCATGACCCCCCCAGTCACACCCCCACCCTCTCCAGCCACGCTGTCCCCCCACCCCTCCACCTGCCTCATGACTCCCACCATGTCACACCCCCACCCTCTCCAGCCACGCTGTCCCCCCACCCCTCCACCTGCCTCATGACCCCCCCAGTCACACCCCCACCCTCTCCAGTCACACTGTCCCCCCCACCCCTCCACCTGTCTCATGACCCCCACCATGTCACACCCCCACCCTCTCCAGCCACGCTGTCCCCACACCCCTCCACCTGCCTCATGACCCCCCCAGTCACACCCCCACCCTCTCCAGCCATGCTGTCCCCCCCACACCCCTGCCTCATGACCCCCAGGCACCCCATCCTCTCCAGTAATGCTGTCTCATGACCCCCACCATGTCACACCCCCACCCTCTCCAGTCACGCTGTCCCCCCACCCCTCCACCTGCCTCATGACCCCCCCAGTCACACCCCCACCCTCTCCAGTCACACTGTCCCCCCCACCCCTCCACCTGTCTCATGACCCCCACCATGTCACACCCCCACCCTCTCCAGCCACGCTGTCCCCACACCCCTCCACCTGCCTCATGACCCCCCCAGTCACACCCCCACCCTCTCCAGCCATGCTGTCCCCCCCCCACCACTGCCTCATGACCCCCAGGCACCCCATCCTCTCCAGTAATGCTGTCTCATGACCCCCACCATGTCACACCCCCACCCTCTCCAGTCACGCTGTCCCCCCACCCCTCCACCTGCCTCATGACCCCCACCATGTCACACCCCCACCCTCTCCAGTCACGCTGTCCCCCCACCCCTCCACCTGCCTCATGACCCCACCATGTCACACCCCCATCCTCTCCAGTAACGCTGTCCCCCCACCCCTCCACCTGCCTCATGACCCCAGTCACACCCCCACCCTCATACCCCTCCAACTGTGCTGCAGCCCCCAGCACCGCCATCGCCCTTCACACGCCCAGCACCACGCTGTCCCTGCTCCCATCCCAGCCCCCAGCACCACGCTGTCCCTGCTCCCATCCCGGCCCCCAGCACCACGCTGTCCCTGCTCCCATCCCGGCCGCAGCACTGCAGCCCTGGCCCCACTCACTTGAGGATGAGGGCCATGGTCTCCTTCCTGTCCTTGCCTTGGAACGGTAGGGACCCCGTGAGCATCTCGAACTGCAGGCAACACAGAACGGTGAGTCCATTTATCCCCACGTGCCTGCAGTGCCCCCACCAGCCCACCTCCCAGGTGCCTGCAGTGCCCCCACCAGCCCACCTCCCAGGTGCCTGCAGTGCCCCCACCAGCCCACCTCCCAGGTGCCTGCAGTGCCCCCACCAACCCACCTCCCAGGTGCCTGAAGTGCCCCCACCAGCCCACCTCCCTTACCCACCCAGAGTCCTGGTGGGCGCGGCGCAGGTGCCGGCCCACACGTGGGGGCTGTGGCAGGGAGCGGCCGCCTCCCCCTGCTTACATTCCTGTGGGCGACACAGGTAAGTGGCCATCCCAGGGGACAGTGAACGACATGGGTAAGTGGTCATCCCAGGGGACAGTGAGCGACACGGGTAAGTGGCCATCCCAGGGGACAGTGAGGTGACAGGTGGGCAGAAGGCACTAAGGTGATGGGGAAAGGAAACGGAGTGGGGTACTGGGGCCTGGACGGGGCTCTCGGGGCCGACGCCCGGGTGGTTTAGGTCCCTCTGTCCTTGGTGGGTGCTGTGGAGCAGCCTGAGCCAGGCAGTGAGGGCGGGCTGGGGGTGCGCCCCCCCAGGTGCACAGGACCCCATCACAGCCCTCTGATGGAGACCGGGGGCACCAGCCACTGCTCAGACACAGGCTGCTGCATACCGCGCATCTAGTAAGACACGGTCATGGCCAGGACGGACACGGAGATAAAGAGGGCACTGCAGGCGGCCCCCCAGGCACCGGCACTGACTGCCCGGACTCCGGGGCCGTGGCCTGGAACCACAGCTCCCCCTGCCCGCCCCTGATGAAGGAAACCAGGCGGCACCAAAGCCTTTCTCCCCCAGGCCTCAGCCGGGGTCTTTTGTGTCAGCTCGGACGTGAGGAAGGCGGCCTGGGAGCCGGTGCTGGCAGGACGCTGTTAAATTCACCAGCTCTTGACTTTCAACTGCAACGCCCGTGCCCTCTGAGAAGCCATCCGCCAGCACTTCCCTTTGCGTCTGACACAGAAGCAGAACGCTGGAAATAAGCACCCTAATCCTATCACCCAAAGATCCCCACCATCAACACTTACACCTTCCAGAACTTTCTTCAAGCATTTTTTTTTCACTTTAAAAACAGGTTAGGTTTTCCAAGGTGACTTCCCACAGAGTAACACGGAACGTTCATTGCTACAGTCTGCCCCTCGCCCGTGGGCAGGCCACGTCTGTGGGACACGGGATTTCTCCGATGTTCCGCTCTTGTAAGCACTGAATACACAGAAAAGTTTCCCCAGGATGACAGTGATGCCAGGGGAAGTGAAAGCTTGGAGAGGAAACGTGGTGGAGGCTTTAACATCAGCGACTCGCTCTCTGAAACGGACGGGAAAAGCGAGGAACGCGGCGGCCGCCCGATGTCTGCAGCCGGCCCCGCAGCGTCTCACCTGCACGGACTCAGTAAAGGCACCGGCACAGGGGCTGCAGGCAGCCAACAGACTACACGTGCGGAACACAGAGCAGGCGGGGAGCGTGTAAAAATAGCCGGCGTAATGAAGTCGAGAGGCTGAGGAGCTATCGCGTAACACAGCAGGGATGCACGGGAGCTGATTAGACAAATTCACACGGCCCCTGAAATAGAGCCCCCCCAGCCGAGGGAGCTGGGTTCTTCCCTCTGTCTTCCCAGCTCCTGGAGCTGACTCTTGGTAGAGACCCCACTTCCTGGAGGAAGCCCCGTGGCTCTGTGGATTGGGGGCTCTCCTCGACGCTCACCGCAGTATCCGGCCCGGCACCTGTGCCTGTTCACAGCGCTCGCCCGACCTGCGCTCTGCGGCCTCTGACTGCGACCACACAGCCCTGTGCTGCGCCTCTGCCCGCTCTCCCCCTCTGTGCACACGGCTCTGTCCTCTGCCACCAGGCGCACGTGTGGGCCCGACCCCGAGGCACACGTGGTGGGGGACGGTTGCTTCTTGAAGGCGAGGATGCGTGCGGCGGTGTGCGGGGTGGGCTCTGGCTGTGAGGGCGCCGTCACGCTGGGCCTGCGGTTGTCACCGGGACTGCTGCTGCATCCACGTGGCGTCCTCCCCCGGAACCATCGCTGGGATGTTGCCCTCCGACGAGCGAGCAGCGCCAGGGCTGAGCCGGGGCAGCTGCAGCAGGAGCAGGAGCCAGCGTCCGTAGCTCTCAGAGCGGAGAGAGCATCGGTGGAGCCGGGAGGCTGTGGCGGCGTGAGTCTCGGGGCGGCTGCCTTGTTGGGCGCAGGGGAACTTGCTGGGTTCTAAAGGAACGCCAGGCACCAGGAGGCGCTTGGAGACTGATGTTTACAAGGACGATGGCCGATGCCACAGCAGCAGGTGCCGAGAAGACACGGAAGACAGAGCCACGGACGGCCTGGGGGTCACAGAGTCCCCAGAAATGACCGCTGTCTCGCTTAGGAGCTGAGAGCACCCCTGGTGGGGACGCGGGAGCCGGGCCCTCCGAGGCCCCTTGCCCGTCGCCCGCCCTCCGCGCTGCTCCGTCTTCAGACTCTCTCTCTGCTCCGTGTCGCTGCTCTTCCGCCTTTTCCTTCCAGCTTCCCCACGCTCTAATTTCCGGTGACTTGGGGCAGAGACGGCGTTAGGGGTGTGTTCTACAGTGGGGGACAGATCTGTGTTTTCTTGTCTTAAAGCAGAAATGTATACGAGGATGGCAGCCTGTCCCCTCCACACGCTCATGAACTCACAGGGCGAGGCCGAGCTGGCCGCGTCTCGCAAGCCGCGTCTTCCGCGGGCCTTCCCTCTCCCCAGGCTCGGCCTGGCATCTTGGTCCTGTGAGGGGCACGTTGGGGCTCTGCCTCAGGCAAAGGGTCCCCACCGTGTGGACCACGCCCAAGCCCACGGCCACTCTGTGTCGTCTTCTCCAAGGGCAGGAGGACAGGGGGCGACGCGTAGGGACAGCGGCCAGACACAGACCGTGGCCCTGCACAATCCTGGACTTGCAGTGCAGTCTGGGTGAGAGGCTGGGCCGCTCCTGGAGCCACGGCCCAGCGTCAGGGAAGGCGATGGCCAATCTCCCACGTGCGGCAGGGGCGGGGGGGGGGGCTGGGGGCTCCCCATGTGTGTGGTGTGTGCAGCAGGCACGGTTGCTGCACTCACAGCAGGCTCTGGGCCCAGCCGCGATGGGCAGGTGCACTTGGGGAAGGGTCATCGGAGGAGGGGCTCGCATGCTGTGTGCACGCCATCACCATGTACACGCCGTCACCATGAGCACGCCATTACCACGCAAACACCGTCACCATGAGCACGCGGTAACCACGCAAACGCCATTACCATGAGCACGCCGAACGACCACCAGTCTGCGCTCTGCGCGTGTCCCCGCCGGTTCACCACCTCGGGCGCCATGTACTCGATGGTGCCGCAGAACGAGTAGGCTCTCTTGTCGTGGTCGATGGCCTCCTTGCTCAGGCCGAAGTCTGCGGGGAGCACAGCACACAGGCCCTCAGCCCGGCCCCCCAGCAGGCCCCTCTGCACCCCACTCCCCTGAGGGCCTGTGCAGGACTCGCTCCCACACAAGCAAGCACCCGAGGGCAGAATTCCCTGGAAACCCACACTTCCAGGAGCGCCTGACGCCGGGGCCAGGAGAACCCCCTTGGTGACGGGGCCCCTCCCATGGCTGAGCCCTGACTGCGGGTCGGGGGCTGGGAGGGAGAGGCTGGGGGTGTGGGGCAGGGGAGGAGGAAGTGCCTCCCGCTGGGGGAAGACGAGGGACAGCACTGATGCGATCTGGGAGCCCTGAGGGTGCTCCCCCCCCCCCCCACCGGGGAGGCCACGCTGAGCAGCAGGGCCACGAGGGCGCTGCACCTCCCCAACTCTGTTGCCTGGAGGATGGGGCCAACCTCGCGCCTGGCAGGGCCGCGCCCAGAGCCACAGCCCTCACTGCCCAGGGGCCTCACGGATCCGTCTGTAGTCCATGCCTGGCCAGGATTACAGGTGACACTGCCGGCCCCGGCAATCAGGAAAAGACAAAACTCTGCAGTATCTCGGACAACAGACCTGACGCGAGAGCTCCATGCCTGCCTGACTCCGGCTGAGCAACTGTGATTCACGGTGTCACAGGCAGAGAAAACCCGGCAAAGGCCCGGCAGAATCTCGGCCTCCACTAAACGCCACACGGCACCCGAGCCACCCACACCAGGGGCACAAGCTTCCTGGGTCGACCTGTGCGTGCCCGGGAAGGCCCAGGAGCACGGACGGCGGAAGGAACCAGAATCGGTGCTGAGGGCACGGTCTGAGAGCTGTTGGGGACATGACGGTCCCGGCAGAAGCGCCTGAGGAAGCTTGTGGGAAGCTCTTTGGGGCCCTTGGCACAGGGGCTGAGACCACTCGGGAAGTCCGTGTCCCATGTTTAGTGCCTGCTTGGAGTCCCCGTTCCTCTGCTTCTGATGCAGCGTCCGGCTAATGTGCGCCCTGGGAGGCAGCAGGTGCCGGCTCAGGCACTCGGGTCCCGGTCACCCGTGCGGGAGGCAGGACTGAGTTCGGAGCTCCTGGCCTTAACCTGGCCCAGCCCCAGCCGTCGAGAGCATTTGAGGAGGGAACCAGCAGAGGGAGATCTTTGTCTCTGCCTTCCAAACAACTGAAAATCATTTATTTTTTTTTGTAAAAAAGGCTACCTTTCAACCTAACCAGTGTTTCACATATTTAATAACCATACCGACACCTGCTCTCTCTGCTCTGCTGGGTGCCAGGGCACCTGACGGCTGTGACAAGTCTGCCGTGGCGAAAGGAGGGTGAACCAGGTGCAGCCGGACAGGTGGGGCCACCCAGCAGGGAAGGGGCCTGGGGGAGGGGCTGAGCTAAGCATTGAGGAAAGAACAGGGGTTCACCAGGAGCCCCAGAGCGAAGGAGGCTAGCAAAGGGCTACAAACGAGCGCAGGAGCTCAGGGACCTGGGTGGCAGGTTCGAGGGGCACGGACAGGTGTGGAGCCGGGGCCGGAGTCAGGCCGTGGGGCAGAATGACGGTGCCCAGAGGTGGCCACGTCCGCACCCCAGGACCTGTGAGTTGGTGACCTTGTGGGGCAGCAGCGACTGCGTAGGTGGAATTCAGTCAAGGATCCTGGGATCAGGGAGGTGACCTGGAGTCTGCGTGGCCAGGGCCACTGGGTGGAGGAAGGAGGCAGAGGTCAGGGAGAGGCCAGAAGAGGCTTCCCCACTGGTCTGGAAGGCAGGGGAGGGGCCCAGAGCCTAGCAAGGTGGGCACCTTCTCAAAGGAGCCACGGGGATTCTCCCCGGGGGGCTCGTGGCCACAGAACCGCGGATGGCGAACCCGTGGGCCCGGCACCTCCGCTCAGCGGCACAGGAAGCTGCTGTGTGTGGGGGTGACACTGTGTGGGGGTGACACTGTGTGGGTGCGCCTGCCGGTGGGGGCAGGGGTTTAGATGTCACCAGGGAAGGGCAGGGGGCCACCGTGATGGGTCGGGCTGAGGAAGTGGAGGCAGCGACGGTGACAGGGATGGCTGGGCTCCGGTTCTGAACACAGCTCCCCGAAGGCCGTTAGGTGGGCTCGGGAGCGGGGAGGGCACAGTCCAGGTCTGGATGTTTCCACCAGCTCAGAGGGCGCAAGGCGGCACCACCAGCCCCTCGCTACGGAAACCTCAGCCGAAGCAGAGGCGAGCGGCTGACAACCGCTGTTGTGCTGGGGCCGGGCCTGGAGGGTCCCCACATTCACCAGGGTGGGGAGGGAGCCCGGGGGAGGAGGCCGTGTCTACGAACCTGTGATCTTGATGTGTCCCTCTTCGTCCAGGAGGATGCTGGAAGACAGGGAGGGGGCAAGGCTTCAGGGAGAGCCCCCACCCAGGCTTCACCCTTGTGAGGGGACCCGGTCCCAGCTCGCCACCCTGTCCTGTCCCCACTGGCGCCCTCGTCACACCCTGGTCTGAGCAGCAGACCCCCAGGATCGATGGCTGGCTTTGCTCCTCCCAGCTGTGCGGCCCCAGGCAGAGCTCCTGTCTCGCTGGGATACGGGTGGGCCCGTGGGGAGCCCTGTCTTCCCGGCCCCGTGGGCTACAGTCTTGAGGCCTCCTTGGTGTCTGACCTTCACAATTTATGACTTTTGGGCTGCAGGGAGTCCTGTCCATTCCACCAGACCCTGGGAGAGAACAGCCGGGCCACAGGGAGACGTGGCTGTGGGCTGGAGAAGAATGGAGGCAAGGCTCCCAGCATCGCCTGGGGAGGGGCCTCTGGCCTGAGGTCTGTGTGAACTCACAGGGGAGCGCTGGGGTTCAAGTGCATCCTGTGCCACTCTGCAGGAGGGCGGGCTGTGGACTGACTGCGTTCAGAGGGAGGTCTGCGGGGAGCGGTGAGGGTCAGGTGAGGTCGGGAGGGCGGAGCTGGAGGGCCCAGCATTTCCAGCCAGACTGCCTCGTGCTGCCGCTCCGTGCCCCTCGGGACTCTGCCAGCGCGAAGCTGCCAGCAGGCGAGGCCCCGAGACCTGGCCCCTCCACAACCACGGCCCAAATCAGCCTCCTCTCTGGAGCAGCCCAGCGTGGGGCCCTGAAAGCTAACGGCCTCCGGCACAGCCGGGAAGCCCGACGGAGGGTGCGGGGCTGGGGTGTGGGCCGGGCAGGTCCGGCGCAGGAGGGAGGAGCTGCCGGCAGGGGTGGGGGGTGGGAGGTGCACCACGAGGTGACGTCCTTCGTGCCGCGAGCGACCTCACCACGGCTGGCAGCACCTGCTGTGGGGCTGCCAGAGCACCTGGTGCTTGATGGCAATGGAAGGAGAGGCTATGGCGCCTGGTGCTTGATGGCAATGGAAGGAGAGGCTATGGCGTGTGTCCAGACAATGTCTGCAATCAAAGAGGCCAACGCTCGGCGTCTCTCCGATGCTCCAACTTGGCCCAGAGCTAACTACTTCCAAGATTAATTTCCTTATGATTCTCATTAAGCAACAACTCTTCATTCAACCCTGCTGAACGCCGATTACTGTTTCTGGGTGGAAGCCTCACTTGGACCTTCAAGACCGGAGCAGCAGCGTCCGTGGTGTTAGGGAGGCAGAGGTGAGCGGCGAGCTCGCGGGATGTTCCACGGGCGGCAACGTCAGACAGCCTCTTACCCCTGAAGGCGGGTGGCTCGGGGCCGGCCTGAGGCGACCACATCGCCCTCCGGGGACGGGCCGGTGCCCGGGATCACGCCGCAGTCGGGGGTGGGCTCAGGCCGCGGCGGACACTCCAGGGCTCTGGCTCTCCCGCTCTCTGGGGGCCCTGGCTGTGCGTGCAGTTGGTGACAATCTGCCAACTATGCGCTATGCCGGCCGTGTGCGCACCCACGCAGACGCATTCTACATCGCTCGCAAATCAATGCTCGCAGGGTGCGATCCAGCTCTTGTGTGCAGGGCAGTGCAGGGGAGGGGGGGGCCCGGGAGCAGGGGCTGGAACCCGCCCTGACCCCTGAGGACGCCTGCTGTGGGGCTGGTGGGAACGGGTCACTCGGGAGCCCCAGTGCAGGGGAGAGGGGGGCCCGGGAGCAGGGGCTGGAACCCGCCCTGACCCCTGAGGATGCCTGCTGTGGGGGCTGGTGGGAACGGGTCACTCGGGAGCCCCAGTGCAGGGGAGAGGGAGGCCCGGGAGCAGGGGCTGGAACCCGCCCTGACCCCTGAGGACGCCTGCTGTGGGGGCTGGTGGGAACGGGTCACTCGGGAGCCCCAGTGCAGGGGAGAGGGGGGCCCGGGAGCAGGGGCTGGAACCCGCCCTGACCCCTGAGGACGCCTGCTGTGGGGGCTGGGTGGGAACGGGGTGCAGTGACTCAGGTCCTGGGGTCACTCGGAGCCCCAGAGTTCCACCGCCCAGTCTCCTCCTCCCGAGTGGCTCACCCCCAGGTCAGGCGGCAGCTCCACCCACACACAGAACAGAAAGGGGAATGCTGCTCTGTTGGGGGCGTTCCAACAGACTCGCAAACCATCCTGGGACTAACAGTGCAGAACACCGATGCCAAAGACACACGACCTCGGTGGGATCTGGGCCTGGGACTCTGCCGCCGTGTCTTCCATGAACTCTTGGGAAGCTGTCGACGCAGCCATTAGCAAGGAGCCGGAGCCTTAACTAAGTGGAGGTGACAACGGTCTCCCTTGGGGTGCAGGAAGCAGCTGGGGGCTCCCTGTGCTGGAGGACGGGGCACCGACGGCTCCGAGGGGTCTCACCTGGGAGGGGTGGACCGGTGGGCTTGCCTCCCACCTGCTCTGGCTTCACTTGTGCCTTAGGGACGTGAACCTGTGTCCTGTGCCCCACAGGGGACTCCATCAGGTGAGGTGGGACCGACACGCGATCGGCAAAGGCCTCCCCTGGATGTGGACATCTTCACGCGTGGGGGACCGGCCGCGCCCCCCTAGGGTGGAAATGCCCAGCCCATGCTCTCACACACACACTTGGGATCTGAACCCCGTGGGGTGGGGGTGGGGGGCTGCCAGCACAGGCCGTGGGGGCGGCGGGCTGTGCCGGCAACGTCTCACTCACTTCTCGGGTTTCAGGTCTCGGTAGATGATGCCCAGGCCGTGGAGGTGGTCTAAGGCCAGGGCCAGCTCGGCCAGGTAGAACTTGACGTCCTCCTCCGTGAACATCACCTGGTGCGGGGAGACAGAGTGGGCTGTCGGCTGAGCTCTGGTCGGTGCGCTGCACAGAACTCTGCTGGGGAGACCCCGGCCCCACCCCAGAAAGCCCACCCTCGGCAGCCCTGCTCCACCAGTCGTGGCCCCAGTGGGTGCTTTGGTCGGTTTCAAGCTCCGTGAGAGCTGACGAGGGCGCCACTGCCGATCCCATGGTGCCTCGCGCGCAGAGCCTGGGTCACAGCTCGCTCCTCTCCCCACACCACTTAGCCCCCGGGAAGGGGGGTTCTGGTTTGTATTTCCTGTGAATTCGTAATGTCTGACCACACACAACCACTACTGAAAACGTGTCTCGAGCCTCCTTCCTTCCTTCACTTCTACATCTTCACCTCTTGAGCCGATGCAAACGACCAGTGTCCCACTGTGTGCCCACGGTGGGAGCCACTCTCCCAAACGCAACACACAGGGTGTAGAGTCGGCCGTGGGGCCCCAGGCCGGGAGGCTGGTTGGAGCGGGGCACATGGGTGTCAGGGTTGTGAGCTGCTCTCTGGGTTCTCGTGTGGCCGGGACGGCCCAGGGCTCAGCAGCAGCCAGGCCAAGACGCTCCAGCGTCATGAGGTTGGACACACCCACTCTGGTCAGCTGACAGGTGCAGGAGGCCACGGTGCCTATAGGGTCACTGCCTCGGCATGCAGCCCCACCCCAAGTCCCAGAGCTGGCACGAGTGGGTTTTTAAGTCACCTTAATGAGAAGCCACGATCATAACCTTGTTCTCTGTTCACCATGGGAAGTCAACACAGCAGGCCATCTCATTACTCAGGTTTCCTCTGACGCAGGTGCGTGAAAACTGACTGCGTGATCGGAGGGTGTTTGGGTAGCACAGCATTTAGAACTGGGGTGGCCAACTGCGCTGGGGTTTTCTGCTTCTTTATTTATTTGAGAGAGGGAGAGAGAGGCTGATCTTCCATCTGTTGGTTTACTCCCCAAATGGCTACAACAGCCAGGGCTGGCCTAGGCTGAAGCCAGGAGCTTCACCTCATCTCCTACAGGGGTGCAGGGGCCCAAACACTTGGGCCCTCTTCCACTGCTCCGCCCAGGCCATTGGCAGAGAGCTGGATCGGAAGTGGAGCTGCTGGGACATGAACTAGGACCCACGTGGGATGCCCGTGGGAGGCTTGATTTGCTGTGCCACAATGCTGGGCCCTGGGGTAGGTTCTGTCTCCCAAATCTCATGCTGCTACTTAAGTTCTGATGTCTTGAGATTGGTGGCTGATGGATTAAGGGTGCAGCCTTGATCTAGCCGTGGCTGGTGGGAGGTCTTTAGGTCACTGGGGGTAGGCGGGCAGAGAGTGGTTCTCACAGGAGGGTTCACCAGCTGAGTTCAAGTTCTGCCTAGCGCTTCTGTCTGCTTCCTGGCTCCCCACGTGCCGGCTGCTCCACACCGCCCACGCCCAGCCTGGAGCAGCCACAGGGCACTGTCACCTCCGAAATGAGAGCTGAACTAAGCCCTGCCCTTCCCAAGAAGCTTCTCGGGGCGTTTCAAAGTGAAAACCTAATAAAAAGGCAGACTGGCATGCCAGGGGACTTGCGGGTGGGTGATGTCAGGCTAATCGGGGGCACCCGCTTCCGAGGGGCACACAGGGGGCGGGGCACAGGGCTGCGCCATCCTGGATGGTCACGATGGAGCCGCCGGCCCGCGCTGCCCAGAAACGCCAGCATCCTCTGTCCTGGCCGCCAGGCAGAAGCACAGCCTTGCCTGGCTGGAAGTCTCCTTTCTAAGTCGGTCGACAACTCAGATGCTGCTGGCCGTCCAGTCCTCTCCCATCTAGCTTGCTGTGTCCAGGTGCTGGCCCTCCGTGGGCTGTGTCTACCACTTGGACATATGGTTTTACTTCTCCGGTCTTAGGGCACAGCTCAGTGTAGCCCCCAGGTACAGAACCCCGGGGACGTGAACCCCATGAAGGCGGTCGGTCAGCACGGAGACTGCCAGCGTTAGGGTGCAGCCTGCTGTGCCTGCTGCACAGAGAACCCCGTGTCTCCGACTTGACTTCCACTCTGAGGTCGGGGTCTTGTGAGAGACACCCACTCGGGCTACTAACGAGCGCTGCACGGTGGTCGAGCAGCCCACCCTCGGAACGTCATTTTAGACGCCGCACAGGGGCTGACCTGAGATGGGCAGATTTCTTGCAGACGGAGGGGAGGGACAAAGCAGCAGGTCCCACCAGAAACGCTCAGGTGGGAGCCCGGGCTCTGGGAGCCGGTGCGCACGGGCACACTTAGGCGCACACAGGCTCGTCCGGTCCCCGCCCTCCTGGGGGTGGCTAGCTCTCACATCCCCGCCTGGTCCCTGCCCCACCGGGGGTGGCTCACCTCCTTGGACAGCCTGGTGAAGAGGTCCCCGCCGCGCAGGAAGTCCAGGATCAGGTACAGCTTCCCCTCCGTCTGGAAGGCTGTGGGGAGACAGCAGCCGCGCGTGAGAAATGCCGTCCCAGGGCTCACGGGGAGCGCGGGGTACGAGAAACAACGTGTGGGCTTCGGATTCTCGCTTGCACCAAAACCTAGGCTTTAATCCCACTTCCCGGGGAGATTCTGAAGTGAGCTCGCACTGGCTTTCCTTCCTCTGAGGAGCGCAGGTCACGTGACCGTTAGATGCCGGGACGCTCGCTCATGCTGTGAGGACCGCGGGGGCCAGGCGAGCAGGTGTGCGTGCGTCTGGCTCAGGTTTCTGAAACCCCAGGCTCGGTCAGTCTCCAGACACACGACTCGAAGGCAGCATCATGGCAGTGCCTTGCTGTCCTACTCTGTGCTTAGCTAATATTGGATACTCAAGCAGTGAACTTGCAGCTTGTCTCTGCAGTCAGCATTTTGTGAAACTTAATTAGACGCTCCGGCTGGCCGCCTCTCGGATGAGCTCCGCAGGCAGAAGGCAAAGCAGGAGACGCTGCCTGGCAAGGCGGGGGCGTGGCCACGGGGGGACGGGTTATCTAAGTCTCGAAAGATGGCCATCACCTGACCGCGGGGACTGCGGCTTCAACCAGCGCTGCCTTAAACGTCTCGAGCCAAGGTATTCGCTTAAAACAGAGGAGGCATTGCCGGTTCTGGCTTTGCTTCTGAAACAACTCGAAACCATGCTGTAGGCTCACGCCAAGCTAGGGCAGGAGACCTTGCCGCCAGGTTGCCGGCGGAAGTCTTGGAAGAGAGAAGAGGGAAAGCGAGCCCAGAGTCCAGGGCGCTGGAGAGGAGCCGCCTCCGTCCCCGGGCAGGACGGGGCTCCTGCTGCCCGGCCGGCCCCGCCTCCCCGTTTCTGCTGGGCTGCGCAGCCCGGACCTCCCGCCCCCGCCCCCTCCTCACCGTAGTGGAGCTTGACGATGAAGGGGTGATTCACTTCGGCCAGGATGTCTCTCTCCATCTTCGACCGCACGCGGTCCCGAACTGCAGGACACAAACACAAGGCTTCCAGTGGGCAGGAGCCCCGGATACGGGCTGTGGGACGAAACGTGCCAGCCCTGCCTTCTATCACAAGAATTCCCAAGCACATACGAGGCTCCCAGGAGTAGTCTGAGGACCCCTCCACGTGCACTGGGCGGCTATTCACGTGACGATTTCCAGTCGGATGCATTTGCTCCCACCCCACTCCCTCTGCAGGCTGGAAATGCACTGTCGCACCACCACTCCTGGCCCTTACGGCATCAGCATGCGTCTCCTATAATCAGGCCTCTGGTGCCAGCCACACCTCAGACAGCTGGCGACCAGTCCATGCCAGCAGCTGCTGTCCAGTCCAGTCAATTCCGCACCCATGCCATCTTTCTAACCTGTCTTTCTAACCTCAGATCCACGCAAGGTCACACATCGCACTTTTTTTTTTTTAAGATATATTTATTTATTTGAAAGGCAGAGTTACAGAGAGGCAGAGGCAGAGAGAATTCTTCCTTCCGCTTGTTTACTCCCCAGTTGGCCACAACTGCCGGAGCTGGGCTGACCTGAAGCCAGGAGCCAGGAGCTTCTTCTGGGTCTCCCACATGGGTGCAGGGGCCCAAGGACTTGGGCCATCTTCCACTGCTTTCCCAGGCCATAGCAGAGAGCTGGATCGGAAGTGGAGCAGCCGGGACTGGAACCGGCGCCCACATGGGATCCGGCACTGCAGGCGGCAGCTTTACTTGCTACGCCACAGCGCCGGCCCTGCACTGGGTGTGAAATCTCATTTGCTTTGCTTCTAGAAGGGAACAGTCCCTCAGCTTTCCCCCTATACTTTTTGGGGCCTTGTGGGTTACATCCAGGCCAGGTTTCCCACGTGAATGGGCCACGTTCTGGGTTTGTCCGCTTGCTGCTCGACCGGCCTCTCTAACCCCGGCATTTGCTGTCGGCTGAGGTCGGGTCTGGAGGCTTTGTAAGGTTGAGGCTGAACATTGTGGGCACCAGGTGATACGCATGCCGGGTGAGCCCGCCCTGAGCTCCGCCACGAGTGACGGCTCAGAGAGGTGGCGAGCCATCGACCTCCGTGCTGGGAAGAGTCACGGCCCTGTGAGCAAGTCACCTGCAGCTTCCCTACACACTCCACGCAGCCGTGTTAGTGTGCACACGTGTACAGGGTCCTCACCCCTCCACACAGCCGTGTTAGTGTGCACACGTGTACAGGGTCCTCACCCCCTCCACGCAGCCGTGTTAGTGTGCACACGTGTAAGGGTCCTCATCCCCTCCACGCAGCCATGTTAGTGTACACATGTGTACAGGGTCCTCACCCCCTCCACACAGCCGTGTTAGTGTGCACACGTGTACAGGGTCCTCACCCCCTCCACGCAGCCATGTTAGTGTGCACACGTGTAAGGGTCCTCACCCCCTCCATGTAGCCGTGCTAGTGTGCACACGTGTACAGGGTCCTCACCCCTCCACACAGCCGTGTTAGTGTGCACACGTGTAAGGGTCCTCATCCCCTCCACGCAGCCATGTTAGTGTACACATGTGTACAGGGTCCTCACCCCCTCCACACAGCCGTGTTAGTGTGCACACGTGTACAGGGTCCTCACCCCCTCCACGCAGCCATGTTAGTGTGCACACGTGTAAGGGTCCTCACCCCCTCCATGTAGCCGTGCTAGTGTGCACACGTGTACAGGGTCCTCACCCCTCCACGCAGCCGTGTTAGTGTGCACACGTGTAAGGGTCCTCACCCCCTCCATGTAGCCGTGTTAGTGTACACATGTGTACAGGGTCCTCACCCCCTCCACACAGCCATGTTAGTGCGCACACGTGTACAGAGTTCTCTCCACATAGCCGTGTTAGCATACACACGTGTACAGGGTCCTCACCCCCTCCACACAGCCATGTTAGTGTGCACACGTGTACAGGGTCCTCACCCCCTCCACGCAGCCGTGTTAGTATGCACACATATACAGGGTCCTCACCCCCTCCACGCAGCCGTGTTAGTGTGCACACGTGTACAGGGTCCTCTCCACGCAGCCGTGTTAGTGTGCACATGTGTACAGGGTCCTCACCCCCTCCATGCAGCCATGTTAGTGTGCACACATGTACAGAGTTCTCTCCACGCAGCCATGTTGGCGTGCACATGTGTACAGAGTTCTCTCCATGCAGCCGTGTTAGTGTGCACATGTGTACACAGTCTTTGCCTGAACCACTGAGGGCTGCAAATCGTGGTTTTCACATTTCTGTTGGAACCGGAAATCAAGAGGCAGAGTGTCTCTCCATCATGGAACACACGTTGGTTAAATTAGTGTGTTACAACCTGCTGCAAAGTCACTTTTTTGGTGTCTCAGTGTGGCCATCTAGGAACACAGGTGCGATTATGTCAAATAAAAACCAAGCATGGAGGGAGGGAAGATGGAAGGAAAGAGACTAGACAGACAGACAGGAAGACTGATGGACAGACAGACCCTCACTATGTGAGAACAGCACAGCTCCAACATTCCCGTCATCCGGCTGGGTGCTCGGGGCAGGATCTGTGTGGCTCGCAGGGCCCCTGTGAGTGGGGACGTTCCTGTGTGACAAATATGGGATATATCCCGCCCTGGGCCAGGTATTCAAACTCATCCGTATGTGACATGGACTTTGAGAAGTCGGGACGTCCTTCCCTGAGGACACCACAGTAACACCATCAACGGTGACACCAATGAGGCCTGGCGAGGGCGTGATGGAGCTGGAACCCTCCTGACCTTTCTCCGTTCCACTGCACTGCTGCTCCCGGGCCGCACCAGGCCTGCAGTGGCCCCTGGAGGCCCCCAGCCTAGGAGGCAGCACTCCGGGCAGAGCCTCAGCACCTGCGCCCCACGTCCCTCACAGCTCCAGCCTCCCCGTGACTAAACACTAGGGCAGACATAGTGCAGGTGTGGTCTCCTTCTGCCCAGACCTGTGGGGTCAGAACTGGGTGCTAGAGAGACCCTGGGGAGCACAGAGCTCAACCCCAGCGTGGAACAGAGGCGACCGCTCCTTCTCCACTGCTCTCCGTGCCAGGGTTTGGAACACAAAGCTGAGGCTGTGCCCTCACAGGACCGATTGCTTAGAAGGGGCACAGGCCAAAGATGGCAGGTGGGGGTGGCTGTGTGAGCTTGGGGGGCACTGTGTGACATGGGGGCTGCTGTGTGAGCTTGGGGGGTTACCGTGTGAGCACAGAGGAGCACTGTGTGACATGAGGACTGCTGTGTGAGCTGGGGGGTCCACTGTGTGAGGTGGGGGCTGGGGTACGCACCCCGGGGAGGTTTCCACAGAGGAGGAACTGTACCTTGCAGAGAGTGCACAGTCAGGATGCTTGGGGAATGCAGCCCTGCAGAGTGGTGGCTTGGTGATGCCCGCGTGGTGCTGTGGTGGGTGGGGGCCAGCAGGCAGGGACATGGGGTGGGCTGTGAGACCAGGGAGAGGGACCCAGAGGACTCACACCGCCTGGGTGGGTTCCAAATGCCATGTGCAGTGTGCAGGGGTGCAGCAGGTGGGTGGTCACGGAGCTGCTGTCCCACTCAGGGGACTCTGCTGGCCACAGTGGGGAGAGTGGGGACCTGGGCCTCAGTCCTGGGCCCTCGGTCTGGTCACATGGTAGCTGGTGCAGCCGTCACCACAGTCTCCCTCGTCTGACTGTGCACCCCAGTGTGATGGTCGCTTCACAGCTGTTTGTGGCACCAGTATGAACTCATCAGCCTGTATCAGGGCCCTGGGATGCGGAGTTTTCTCAGGAGCTCTTCAATTTAACCCAAAGCTTATTGCCACCCGCGTTTCTATCCTGGCGGTCACCACCTCCACAGAGGGACTGGTCTGGGACAGGTGGACGGGGACTGGAGGGTTACTGGTGGGGACTCGTGACATTTCGGGTCCCTCCCTGTGCATTGATTGCTGCAGAGTGGTTACTGTGGGTTGTGGCTTATTGATCTGTATCTTTCAGGCCACACTAAACAGGGTCACATCTGCCGAGTGAAAGGCCACTCTGCTGAGATTGTGGCTGTAGAGATAGACCGCCCTGAAACAGAGTGGGAGATGTGGGTGATCCTGTGCTGGGAGACTGCCTGCCTAGCCCACACAGGAGGTTAAGAGGGCATGGCACACCATGCCTCCCAAGAAAGACTCTGGTTGGGGGATTAGCACACTGAGACACACACACACGTGAACTGACTGCTGGCAGGTGGCAGGGGCCCCAGGCACATTTCCCCCACCCCTGCTTCCTATTGAGGGGCCTTGTGATTGTCAACCAGGTGGACAACTCCCAGGTGTGGTCCAGACCCATAAAGACCACCTGGAAGGCTACATGGGCTACGTGACCCTCAGGCTGATTGGAGAAGTGTAGAAGCACAGTATCTGCTTTATCCTAGGGAATTCGTGTTGCCCTGATCTAGCTGCTCCTCTTTGCCTGCCCCATAGAAGCCTGTGCCTGACTCTTAATAAACGGACAAGTTCACCGGTGCTTCTTGTGGAAGAAGGCCATCGCCCCACCATCCCCGACAGTGCGGCCTCCACAGTGCAGGATGAGCCCACACTGCACTCAACAAGCCAGTCTCAGATCCCCAGATACGGACTGGGACTCACACTGGACGTTCAGGTGCCGCATTCACACTGCGACTCACACCAGCAGAGCTCAGGCTGGGGACCGGGGTGAACCACACCTCCTCCTGTCCAGGGTCTCCTGCTGACCAGTGATGGACTTAGTAGCACTTCTCGTCCTCCAGTACCACATCAGCCAACTCCTAGGACAAACCTCTGCCCCTCTGTGGACCCCTGTCCTTCCTGTTGGTCCTCTGATACAGAGAGTGGTGTTGGGAGAGCAGACTGCCCTCACAAGTACTACCAAGGTGGCAGTGGCTTTGCAGCCGGCTCACGGGCAGAGGCTGGGGGCCTGTGCATGCTGCCAAGAGCCTGTACTGCCACAAGCAATTCTGGTGAGGGTCAGGTGCAGACAGGGGGCTGGAGGGGCAGCCACGGTCTCTTAGAGATCAGCTCAG